GATGGTGTAGCAAGCTGTTCTTCTAGCAACGCGGCATCCTGAAGTAGCATCGCTAGATCACCAATACCTGGAGATTCTGGAGGTTCTTCAGTGATCACGATCGACGCCCTGACCGTGCTCGCAGGGCGGGGTATGAAGGAAGTTCGCCGCGCAGAACGAGGAACGACCTTTGGCTCGTCGACAGTGACCTCAGGGGACACTGGAGCAGACACTGGAAGTGGGGTCGGAGGCTGCGATACGCTTGGAGACGCGGACGGCTCCTTCACTTTCCGGTGGACTACAGCATGGAAGGACTGCCGCGTGGAGTTCGCCGACATCTGTTCTTCCAAATTTGACACCCATTGTGTAGGCGAAGGAGTAGACACTGCCGGAGAAGAAGCAGGAGAGAGGGATGATCGAGGTACAGGAATAAGTGATGCTCTCGCTGGGGAAATGATCTTCGGAGCGTCGGTGACTATGATCGCGTCTGCAGCGTCCAGGGCCAAGCTCTTGTCACCAAGGAAAGAGTCTTCTCCGACCGACAAGCTGGAAACACCAGACGACGGACGAGTACCGCTACTATTTGGCGTACGCAGAGTCGGTGATCCAACAGACGCCACGTCCAAAGTGATCGTAGGCTTGGTCGTATGAGCAGAATCCGGCGTCTTCACCTCGTCAGGCTGCTGCTTCTGAGAGCTGCTGTGGTCAAAAACGTCATCTTTAGGAGTGGGTACGGCATCCGAACTCGCAGACGTGTCATCCACTGAGTCTAGTTCAGGAGGTACAGTGCCATCTCGAGCAGCTAATTCCGCGGCGGAGTATTCTCTTTCGAGGGCTTGAATGAGATCGGCACGTCGAGGAGAGATGATGGAAGCAGGAGATGGTGCTGGCGGTTCAAGTGGAGATGATCCAGGTGAGGATCTTGCGCTGGGAAGAAGTAGCGCAGAAGGAGGGGCGGCGTGGTACGGTGTTGGAGGCATTTTACCGAGAGGGCTGTAGAAGCTCGGCGATGAGCGCGTAGTACTTGCAGCACTAACTGGACCTGGCGAGGGTTCCGATAGCAAGGTCGTGGAGACTGCAATCGTAGGCTTCTCTGGCGACTCAACGACCGGGCTTGCTTCTATCTTCTCCGTTTCTTGAGGATGATCCTCAACTTCTACCACTTCCTTCTCTTTCTCTCCATCTTCAACTCCAGCCTCCTCCGCTACAGGTGCCACATCTCCCTTCCCTGCATCTCCTTCTGATTCATGGGTAGGTAGAAAGACCTCTGAAACAACCCTGCGCATAGCAGACGCCATACTGGACGGATATCTAGGCCCATTGAACGTCGGTGAAGATGCTCTTGAAGCGCTATGTGGCATATCCGGCACTGGTGGAGACGGCATTCTGGAAATTGAGAGAGAGGACATGTGAGACGTCGACGCCGCGCGATGTCGCGACGTCGGGAGGACGCTATCGGCAGAAGGTTTTGACAGTCCTGGGACACGGTTCCCGTAGAGCTCGCCCTTGCGCTTCGATGCGCCGTCGTCGACAGGCGGCGCGCCAAGGCCAAAACTGCCTCTGGGAGTCGGCACTGCGCCTTTTCTCTCGAAGTTCGCGATCTTGTCCTTGAGACTACTGCCCGTCGCCTGACTAGGCGAGATAGCGATGGGTTGAGAATGGTGGTCATTGGGGCCTTGGCCGGTCCTCTGCTGCTGGAGGAGTGCAATGCGATCCTTTAAAGCCACGGGCGGCACATTGTTTCGTGAAGAGGTCCTGTAGCAGCATTAAGACAAAAGTTTTGACACGAGTGAAGATGACAGACGCACATAATGGATCAAATGCTGTATGCTAGCAGTCGTGAAGAAGGGTATGGTGGTAGAGAATGAAAGTGTTCAAAAGATTGGAGACGGCGACCACGGGCGACCAGCGACTATGAGCGACGCATGTACTGCTGAACGGCGAGAACGGTGCAGGCAGCTGTGAGCAGCACCGAGGGCGAGGTGGTGGAATGCGGTTGATGAACGAGATGGGAGTTCAGAGACAAGATTGTCTGCACGCGTGTCGCCGTTGACGGTGCTGTTCTCCGGCTGCTTGGCGACCTTGATGGCACGGCGAGGCGCCCATCCCCGGGACGCATTCACGCAGTGATGGGACCATAAGAGCGCATTCCAGCAAACAAACATATAGCGATGCTGCATAGAATGGTAATGGTAGAGATACACTATTGCTTGCGAAATGGGAGTGACAACAGACGTGGTCTACAAATCTAAGATGAGTGGATAAGTTAAAGATGTGATAAAGGTGTGCTGTGAAGAAGAATACATCAACATGAACGGCATGGACGGGTCACTGAGCCTGCGTGAGTTAGTTTGAGTACTCATCAGTATCGCCTCCAAGCCCTACGCCCTTGGACAGCCAATACGAGCGTTTCTCATCCTTCTTCCTCTTGTTCGCCTGGTCACCGCTCTCCGAGTCCGACACCACCACGTATTCCGCTTCTTCGTCGGTCACACCATCGTCCGCGCCGCCTACATGCAGCCGCAAGTCTTTATCATTGGCGTCTCCATCTTCGTCGTCGTCGGTAGTGTAGACTGTGTGCATATCCGCCTCCTTGCCCATACGTCTCCGTTTCTTGGGAGGCTGACTAGAGCGCGAGTCCGCAGCGCGATATCGGCTCTCTTCTTCTTCCTCGACCTTGGTCACTTCGTCGTCGGAGTCCATGACCAATTCCGCTTCACTCCACGCCGTCTTCACGCTCTCGGCTGCTCGAGCTTGCGACTTGCTACTGGGTGGCTTGCGAGAGCTCCCGCTGTCATGCTTCACATCGATGGCAAATGTGACGCTGTCAGCTTCAATGCCGAGCATGCGATGCAGAACTCTGCTATCATAAACCTCCTGGGTAAGCCGGCGATGGTTGACGGTCTGCAGATGCATTCAATACACACAGCGAACCACACAGCGCGCAAGATTACATACCTCTTGTGTAACACCCATCACTGAGGCCAGAATGCTCATCTCCTCAGGATTATGGACCTCGCGTAGGTGCACAGCACGGTGCTTCTTCCTTGCCTCGATGACCCCTGCCCGCAAATACGCGGCCGAGGTCATGATGCCATAGGCACCAGCGAGAGTGGTGCGGACTTTCGCAATGTGATAGGTGCCCCTCGAGATATCATTGGCTAAATGAAACCAACGAGTTCAGTATATCATGCGGTAAATCACAGAAACGCGCGGGCACTGACATGGATCACCGGGGTCTTCTATGGATAGAAGTCCAGGATTCCGATAGTCTGACCAGCCTCGATGAGTCTTATTATAGTACGACCCTCCCTCTCGGAGCGAGATCCCAACCTCGTCGTAGTTGAAGTAACGCCCATACAGCTCGAAGAATTCCATGACGAGGGTACCTAGGTTCTGCTCGGCGTTGATCTCCCCTCGTCGTATCTTCGGGTGCATCTGCAAGAAGCTGATCGCCAGACAGACGATACTGTAGCTTCCGAGGCCGCCAGTGAAGACCTCGTTCATACTTCGCTGATTGAGGAACGACTTGATGATGAGGACCAGAGCTCGGAGGGCGGGAAGCTCTTGCATGAACTGCTTGATGATCTTTCCGGCGGCGACACCGTTGTTCTGGTTCACGCTGATATCGACCGCGAAGCGTCCATGACGAGTGACGAATTTGATAATAGGGACTTTGGCCTTTGCGATGACGGTGACGCGGTCTGTGATGCCTGCCCGCTTCATCGTGCTGGCCAAAGCATGAAGAACTGACTGGCTCCTGCTGTAGGCCATGGAAGGAGACACTATGACCAGGTCGATATCCCTGTGAATTGGCCGTCAATTGCTGAGCATCTCTAACAGAACACCAACATACCCCAGAGGAAGGTACAGTTTCGTCTCGTAGCTCCCGAATGGTAGGACCTGCGCATCCGGGAACGATGCTACAACTTCTCGCCGGATAATTTGTACAATCATGGACCGAACATCGTCTTCAACGGGTGTTGGAGAGATGTACTTGACGAAGGCATCCACCTCTTCGTGCAGCCTAAAGCGCAGCAGAACGCAGATTCAGCAACATAACCACGTCAGGATGTGACGAGTACGCACATTTGAGCAACATTCTGACATCCGTCCCAATCCACATCCCAAGCCCAAGGAGCCCTTCGCGACGCCGCATCCATCCTCTGCCTCTTGCTCGCATATCCATCGCTCGAATCCACTTCTGCTACCTTCCGTTTCCGACCCGCTCTCTCCGACTCAGGCACTTTGCCTTTATCCCAAGGCCGTACAGGACCGTCCTTGGATTTGGCCAACTCCGGAGCTGGAGGAGGGTCTCCGTCCTCATCCTGCGCGAATTCCGGCGCGCCGTCAAAATCGAACTGAATGAAGTCTTCATCGGCAAAAGCGTCCTGGTTGGCCAGAAGCACTGCGGCGCTGGAAACAGCCTCTTCTGTTTGTGCGACAGCCTCACTGAGAGAATTTGGTTGCTTGATATCCGAGGTATTGAGCTGGCTGGAGCTCTTCTTCTTCTTCCGCGGCCGACGAGATGTAGAGGACGAGCTTGCGGGGGTCTCTGGTCGAGATGAGGGAGGTGTTACACTGGGTAATCGACTCGGACCCGCTGAAGGTTTGAGTTGCGTCGCTGCCATTGTGGGTCTGTTCTGTGAGGATCGTCGAGCGCGTCGGGAGAGAGCAGCCCAGTTGCGAGTGCAAAGGTGTGGTCGGCAGTCGCCAGTACTGTGCAGAAACTATAGGTGCAGATCTACACAGCCTTACACACTGACAGCTCGCTCAAGCTGTACCGTGTAAACGCCCAAACGCTCGAACGTCCTCGTGGGCAGACTCAAAACTCGAATCAGACTGTACATGTGCATGAACGTTTGAACCTCCGATTGTAGGGTAAAATTGCTGAACAATCTCTATATGGAGTACAGGAATCACTTTCACATTCATAAGTTAAGTTTGACAGGAAAACGCTACGTAGTGTACTCTCTCACCCGAAGTGTTGGAGAGAAAAAAGGAGAATCCCATGATGATATTGCATTAAGGGGGAATCGAACCCCCGGCGGGTCGAGCATGACAATCACACATCGATGGCAACGACCCAGGTTACCACTACCCCATTAATGCATACAAACGTGGGCTCTTCGAAAGCTCCATATAGACCGGCACGCATCCTTCCATGGATGAACCAAAGTACGACAGATCTTCCGTGGAGGATCTTGTGCAGCTGAGCAGAATACGAAGCTTCAATATCGACGCGTCTGGCCTGGCAGAGCAGAGCATAAGAACCCTACGACTGCGAATGAATACATAGGCATCCCCACCACTGGCACCTGTTAGCACTCGCTCACCTCAACATCCCTTCAAAAACCTCGGGTCCTGCACATCAACGAGATGACGTATTCAGCTGTTAAACTACAGGCAGATATTGAGAAGATTGTCGGATTTTGCAGCACCCCGAAGCCAGTCGATCCAATTCAGAGGGTCCAGTCGTGGGTTCACCACCTCTTCCGTACTGGACTAATGCCGAACACCCTGCTATGGACAGGGAAATGGCCAAGGTGCACGCGACGATTGCTCGCTACTGGGCCCAGGTCCACAAAGTAGAGTCGTTTGACCTGTTGGAGATAAAACACTGAATAATGAGGACGAATACTCAGCAATTCGCGACTTCCGCACCTGTAGACGATCCGGAAAACTACTTCGGGTTCGCGCAGAACTGGGTGAACATGGTGAGTTTCCAATTCAGTCGATCCATTCAATAGACCGACCGTTGATATGTGTAGGTGCAACTGCATCACGACTTGGAAGAAGCTGTGCAATTTCCTGGCTGGAACCCTCCCCTCGACATGAGTCAGAATGAGGCAGAGCACCGCGAGCTCATGGTCCCGCTGTCCGCCTTCGGCAACTACCTCGCCGAGGTCAAGGCTGGCGTCGAGCCCTGGTCCGCTACAAAAGCCGAGGCTCTTGCAGAAGCCTTCCTCCCGGTTCTTATGCACCATCTGGTCGCAGAGCTGGATACACTCGCTCCTGAGAAAATCAAAGCCAGCGGTCTGACCGAGGAGAAATTAAAGGCTACTCACGAGAACATGGCGGCGCTGGCCCGCACCAAGGTCGACGTCAACAAAGACATCCCCGCCATGCTCTTACACAACGATGGCGACCTAGAGTGGCCGCCCACTCCTTGGACGCGGACGCCTGACTTCAAGATGCCACGAGAGCTGTATGAGCATCACAAGGGGTACGTCGCGCGGCCTGTTTTCTTGATATGTACATCGTTGACGGAGCCACGCAGATGGTGGAAGTATGCAGCTGTGCAGCTGTGAGCGGCGCACAGAACCAGTGATGAGCCGGGGGGTTACTAGAATACCGATGATATCCTATCTTTCCGTCTACCCGCTCCGAGGAATTGAACGACCTTCAAGAATTTGCGGCCCCCGAGGGCCACTCATCAGCAGATGAGGTCTGGTGTCCTGCATCAATACATAGTACGCGCGGTTCGAGGCGTGTGAGGACGTGTGTGGAAGTGCAAGACAATTTGGCAGGTATTGCACCGCCTTCCTAGTCAAGCTTGGAACACTGTAGACCTCCAAGAGCTTGACCTCCGGTCCATCGGAAGTTGTCAGTAAGGTGGTACCTGTGAGATCAACATCAGCAGTCAGTCAAATGGGATAACCTGAAACCGAGAGCATACCAAGTCGCAGGGGCGGTCAGCATGGCGCCTCGTAGGAGGATAGGTGTGCTCGAGCCCTCCAGGAGAATGCAGCGGCTCAGACATCGGCGATATATTGCGCCTCTGAAATGTTAATTTGGTGTGTGACGTACGCATCGCGGGGCACAGCTCTGATATCATCTTTTGAGCAGCACTTAAAAGCTCGGGTCACCCGGGGACATTCTGCATCGATGATTAGCGGACAATGCAAGCGAGCAACGAAGTGAGAGAAATCACAAATCAGTTGCGGCATACTACGTCGTTCCCGCAACGAAGATATTGAGCCGGCCTGAAAATAAGAAACGAGCATCTGTGAGCGTCATATGACTGATATTCAGCGATACTGGCTCGGGAGAAGAGCGGATAGAAGCTACCGGGTATATCAATGTGTTGAGTGGGAGGTCCTTGAGGTTCATTCAATTATAGCTACCGTAACGATATGAGCAATCTACTTGAGTGATCAGGAGGGCTCGGCCGCCTTTGAACCAACATGGGCGAGACCGCTGTAAGACCTCGTATTGCGCAATATTGCTAGTGAACGTCTGGCAAAAAGATAAAAAGACTGTCAGCTAGCCGCGTGCTGAAAAACACGGAGATTATCTGTGACAAAGACAGACAGCAAAATCCGTCCGTAGCACCGCCATAGTGGCTGCGTATACGGGCTGACACATTGGTGGCCAACCTCTTCTTCATCCAAGCGATCTCGATATGGAGAGAACGGAGCGACCGCTGAGTGAGGAATGAGGTGACAACAGCACGATTTGTCCAACATATCCGGAAAGCACGAAACTAGGGACTGACGGCACTCGGCATGCGATCGGGTAGCAAGGTGTGAACTTCGATGCGGTTTGCAAACATCCGGAAAAAATGATTAAATACCGTCCGAAAACATTCATTCCATTAGCATTACATTAGAACTGTGAGAGTTGTTCAACGTTCAGTTCCGATCGGAGGTGGAGCAACGCAATTCGACTGCTTACCCTAACTTGATATGAACCACTAGCTTTGGTGAGGTACCGTACCCATTTGATGCTGTGGTAATTGCTCTTCTCGAATACCTTAAGGAAACGTACGATGAGGCCCGACGAAGTGAACATCAACACCTGGAAGTCGACATCGATCGGTGGCCGTGCCCAAGCCTGACGATGTGTCGTGCTCGTAAGCTGAGCCGTACCAGAAAGAGTGACTTCTTGACCACCCTGGATGCGAGGTATCCTGTGACAATGATCAACAGCAGCACAAGATACTGGCGAAACGCGGCGACGTACTTCCAAACAACCACGTTCTCAGCCGGCACATACTTCGCTTTCCCATTTGGCGCTTTGCAGTCAACAGTGGTTGTATTCAGGGGTGTTGGTATCCGTATGACTACATTCGTGGCGGACAGCTTGTTGTTGAAGTTGGTCTTGACGGTGACAACATATGACACCGAAGTCGTTCCAATTTCCGTAACGGTCGGTATGACCCTCAGCGGCAGCTTGACATTCGATGTTGACCGGTAGCTGGGGAGTTATGTACTTAGTAACGAGAAGCCGAGAGTATATGAAGCGGCTCACGTCATGAGCTCAAACTCGCCGTCTGGAGGGACGAAACTGATGGTCCTGCTCGAGTCGAATTCATCCAGTCGAACACACTGGTGAAAGCGACAATCGTCCAGCTCAACGGCGTCTCCCAAACTACCCTTCTCGCTCTTGTCTATGACAAGCTTGTCGTTGAGACCGAACTTGCACTCTGGTGTTCCCGAGAGGTAGGCGCGCATGAGGATATGACCGTCAACATCTGCCCGCAGCACAGTCCCCTTCGCACTCATGCTGAGGTTGACAGTCTCTACAACGTCCACGAATGCTTCATTCTTCTTATACTTGACATCATTCCGCCTCCAACTAGTGGCGCCAGTAGCTTGCGTGGTAATCTTCGAAGATTCCTCCTGGAGAGATATGAGGATACGCAACTGAAGATAAAGTACCACTTACAGCCGCAACGTTGGTCGACATGACACTCTCTGTAGTAATGTAAGTCTTGAGAGTGTCAATCTCGCTATTCTGAGGATATCCAAAGTCGTTGATCTCTATAACGGAAGAGTAAGAGCTAGCAATCACGTATGAGAAATGCAAACGCACCGTCGATTAGCTCATAGATCAACACAAAATTATTCTTCACAGACTCCTCGTCCACCTTTCCAAAGTAAGACTTCGCGATTGCAATAAAGCGATAGCAGTACTCGAACACCAATGCAGCGTTTGCATTGCACCTGGGAGTGGTATCGTTCGTCAAGTCTGCCATGTTTGTACAAGAAGGAGTACTCACTTCGTCACCGCAACCACGTACAGATTGTTCACCCTCACATGAAAGAAACTCGTGGAGCCCAGGGTAATGATCGGAGAACGGACATCGCTGTTGGAGACGACTTGTATCCGGAAGACGTCGGCAATGGAGCGTCTGGAAGGGTGATCTTGGTAAGAGGAGCGTAGCAAATATTGATACAGTCAAATTACTTCAGGTCCGTGCGGTACAATCTCGAAATAAGCACCTAGTGGGAAGAGGTAAGAGCATGGCTAACTTATAACGCAGAGCGGCACAGACTTCTCCTTTCTGGTTGAAAATGAAGAATGCCTGTGTACAAACACGCAATCAGTTGGCGGTCACAGTCGATGCGATAGCTCAGCTCACCGAAATCATGGTGTAGAAAGAGGAATGTTGAGGAACAAGGACGGTCGTGTTGTCTGAGCCGCAGCCGGAGCGGTAAGCTCACGAGATCGCTTGACGTAGCATTAGGCGCCCGATACCGATCACCTCGCGTACCGTAAAAGGAAACCTCCGGCTATATTTAGCCCTCCAGGGCTCGTGGACGACCTGCCAGTCCGCACTTGACCTGTACCTTCGAGTTGAATGTCGTGCTCAAGGTCGTCTTATGTTCTCAGGCCTCCTCTGCAATCTTTTGTGGTACACTCAAAGACGAGTAAGTACCCAAAGAAAAAATCGGGTTCGAGATGGCAGAGGTCCCGCAAGGTATGCAAATAACACTTTCGATGTTAGTGCTTGCGTCAACAGTCTTCTGACCCACCTCTGACGCCACATCTTCAGGGACTAGGTCAAGCAGGGTCAAGCTATACTTACAACCCTGCTGCACGCATAGCACATTGCAAGATTCTGGCTACTTGCTCAGTCTTGCTGTACATCACCGTGACATCACGCGCGTGACTAGATCTGCTGACCTGGTTCGTACCGCTTCTCCAAGCTCCAGTACCACCTTGTCGGCCTCTCTGTATCTGCTCGTGCGACGAACCGAGCAGTTTCGCCGGCATCTGCTATAATTGCGTACTTCTGAGCTCATTCACGGAGCTTTCTCGGTATACGTGACCATGCAGACCGCACCTGCTTATAGCAGTGCCGGCTTGTTATAAAGTGGCGAAAC